GATCAAATGTCTCTTTTGTTTAACACCTAAGTGTTCTCCCTTTGTAGCTCAGATGCTTACCGGTTTCCAATTCAGTGTTAAAAAAGGAAAAACTTCAATTTCACAATACAAGAAGTACGATGAAATGTTTCCCTAATCTTTTCAATATCCCCTTCTTGCTCGGGTATAAAATGTTTCACTGTTCTTTACATTTATCTTTATAATAAATCATACCATCATTATATCAGTAAAAGTATTTTTCAAATATAAAAAAGTAAACAGTATTCTCTCCGGAAACTCATTTTCCGTGACATAAAGCCTCAAGTAGAATAAGACATGTAAAGACAAAACAGATATGTCTTAACAAAATAAAAACTGGTGGTGGATGTAACTTGTTGAAGATAGGGTGGAGCAAATCCTTCCAAGTAAAATGCAAGTCCATGCAACTCATTATCTCTCCCTCTCTTCAAACACTTCAAGAGCCAACATTTCCAGCAAAAAATGGTGGTTTCTGCTGACTGCAGAATCTCCCTTTCTGCCCCGAGCTGCCTACGTGGCTCCACGGGCTTGACCAGGCACATTAAGCTTGGAACCTTCTGCAATGGAGAGCTCATGGGTAAGAAGCTCAACTTGGCTCAGCTTCCAAATGTCCGCCTTCGATCTTCTACTAGCTTCTCTCAGAAGAGAGTTTCAATGTCTTTAACTAGAGTAGCTGCAGAGAGTCAGGTAAAAAGTTGAAACCTTTTAGCTTCTTATTCTTCTTTGATCTTCGAACTCATCAAGGGTGATCTGCACTGTGTTTGTTTCTGTCACTGACCTCTCCAGGTACAAGATACTGAGGCTGAGAAAAGGGATTCAAGGACGGTCGCCTCCATTATTCTTGGAGGTGGAGCAGGAACTCGACTCTTTCCTCTCACAAAACGTCGCGCCAAGCCTGCTGTTAGTTGATTCTCTGTTGCAAAGTTTCCAATATTGCTGAATTTCCAGCAGCACAGTAATCCGGAAAATGCGTGAATTGCAGGTTCCTATAGGGGGAGCCTATAGGTTGATAGATGTACCGATGAGCAATTGCATCAACAGCGGAATCAACAAAGTCTACATACTCACACAATATAACTCAGCATCATTGAACAGGCACTTAGCTCGTGCTTACAACTCCAATGGAGTTGGCTTTGGAGAAGGCTATGTTGAGGTTCGATATTCTTTCTTCATCATCCATTACGCGCCAAACTGGTTTGATGCATCTGAGGCAATTGTTTGAAAACAAAAAAATCAGGTTCTTGCAGCCACTCAAACGCCAGGAGAATCTGGTAAAAGGTGGTTCCAAGGTACAGCAGATGCGGTTCGGCAATTCCACTGGCTTTTCGAGGTAGAAATCAGACTTTAACTAGCTTATCTTCACCTGGAAAAAAACAAATACAAAGGGTCCAACATCTTTTCCATAGGATGCAAGAACCAAGGAGATAGAGGATGTGTTGATCCTTTCTGGAGATCACCTCTATAGGATGGATTATATGGATTTTATACAGGTGAGACAAGATTACTTGAGCACATGTCCTTTATCAAGAGTTAGTTACCCTCAGAGACTCATACTTGAACTTCAATCTGCAGGATCATCGGCAGAGTGGCGCGGATATAAGCATTTCCTGCATACCAATAGATGACAGGTGAATGCAAAAGAGCATATAAATTTTCACTTTTTCCCCCGACTTATTAGGCTAAATCAATGATCAAGATTTCTTATAGTCTCTTTCTGTGTTACATGGTAGACGTGCCTCAGATTTTGGTCTTATGAAGATAGATGACAAAGGAAGAGTCCTCTCTTTCAGTGAAAAACCTAAAGGAGATGACCTGAAAGCAATGGTATGTTGAAAAGTCATGTTTGAACAATAGTAGCATCTCAAAACAAAGCCAGAAGATTGTTCTAACCTCGGGTAACCTTAGGCAGTAGACACAACTGTTTTAGGACTTTCCAAGGAGGAAGCTGTAAAGAAACCATACATAGCGTCAATGGGAGTTTATGTCTTCAAGAAAGAAATACTGTTGAATCTCTTGAGGTAACACTTTTAGTTCTAAGTACTATCTCTGCATTATAAGAATAGTGCAGAATAAAAAACTTGCAAGTGTTTTGAAATCAGATGGCGTTTCCCCACAGCAAACGACTTTGGTTCAGAGATTATACCCTTCTCAGCTAAAGAATTCTATGTGAATGTCAGTAGCATTCTGATTAAGCACACATTTACGTCAAATGAGTAACGTTATATCAAGGGCTAACAAGATTTTTTTAGCAGGCTTATCTCTTTAATGACTACTGGGAAGATATAGGAACGATAAGATCTTTCTTTGAGGCAAATCTCGCCCTCACTGAGCATGTAAGGATAAATTTTTCTGAGACAACTCCATTTTCCAAGAGAATGTTCATAATCATACATACTCATTTTAATAATCTTACGTCTACCTCTATATCTTCTAGCCACCGGCATTTAGTTTCTACGACGCAGCAAAACCAATATATACATCACGGAGAAACCTGCCACCATCAAAAATAGACGGCTCTAAGGTAAGTAAAACCAGCCATGATATTTCCTTCTATAGTTCTATGTATTTCGGTTTTAGCCTACTTTCTTCAGGATTAACTCAAAAATTTCAATACATGTGAAGCTTGTTGATTCGATAATTTCTCATGGAAGCTTCTTAACCAACTGCTTAATTGAGCACAGCATTGTGGGAATTAGATCTAGAGTAGGCAATAATGTTCAGTTGAAGGTACGAAAAACGTATATCTTTATTAATCACAATGAAAAGGATTAGGCTTTAAGATTGTACGATGATCTAAATGCATGGAAACTCTAGGACACTGTGATGCTTGGGGCAGACTTCTACGAAACTGAAGCAGAAGTTGCATCACTGCTTGCTGAGGGAAAAGTTCCCATTGGAATTGGAGAGAACACAAAAATTAAGTAAGGCTAACTATCAACTTCACATGGCTTTACCTTAGAAACAGTTGTCAGTTGTGAGC